AGCAGAGGAACTTATCATAACTGTTATTGTAGAATTATGTGTTTTCATGTAATTGTTTTTAGAGTTTTCACTGTAGCAGTCTGGAGCCCCAAATCAGCCAAGTGTAGCTTACCTACCTAAGGTGCTTTTTGAATTCATCCTTTCTCTTTCAGCAGAAATTCCACTGTTTGTATAAACTGCTGTGCCCTTCTCACAGACACAGTCTGGAAAAAGGATGGTTTTTTTATTGAATTTTATAGGCAGCTGACACTGAATAAACATTGGGGTTGCATAAAGGTATTGCTGCCCTCAAAATGGAAACCAGGCTGGAGTAATCACTCAGCTGAAGCCATGTGCCAGTTTTTGGCACATGCTGCTTCTCAGTGGTCTTGAAGTTCACACTCTAGCCTGGGGCTTGCCAGTGTGGCTGGGTCCTGCTCAAAAAGTTGCTTGTGGAAAGCAGCAAGAGCTGATATTGCTGCTGTGGGACTGCCCCTCAGTCAAAGAGCAGGCAGGCTTGCTAGTGCTTTGCAGTAGTGTGCAATTGGGGTCTCTTTCTGATAACTGCAGAGCAGATTTTTTAGTCCCCTGTCTCTCCTGACTGGATCACTTCAGCCCAGCATGGTTTGAGATGTTGCAAAATACATGCAATGCCAGGACAAAACCTGGCAAAAAGTTGTCAAGCATAATAATGTGCAAGAGTGTGAGCCATCTGTGATGCTATGGTCCAACTTCTCCCCAAAATACAGGAACTTTGGGATTCCTCTCCGCTGTGCCTGTGCTTTCCTTCACTCCCACCACTGCTCCTTTCCCTCTTTTTGATCTTATGGAGTGGACAAGTCAGTCAGCTGTTCTGGCCAATAGGAACAACTTAAGAATACAAGACCAAATTCCTTCTTGGATCAAGCAGTAGACTGAAAATTGCTCTGCCTGACTGCTGGGATCCCAGCATGTTGTGCCAAACAGCACACTTGTATTCCAAGTTCTGTGCAAGGATTCCAGAGCTTTGGTGCATGCTGTTCTACCTGTTTCATTAGGTGTGTGTTTGCTTCTGTGCAGACTGTTGGAGTGACCCAAGATAAAATCCCTGAGCTGGAAACCAGTACGTCGCACACGGGTGAGCCGGAACGGAGCCATTCCAACAGCAGCACCTTGTCTGACAGAAGACTCAGCAATTCCAGCCTCTGCAGCATTGAGGAGCAGCACCGTAGTGTCTACGAGATGGTGCAGAGAATCCTGCTGTCCACCCGAGGATATGTCAACTTCGTTAATGAGGTGTTTCGGCAAGTGAGTGCCAAGGGCTACTTGCTGTTGTATCTTTCATTTTTCATAAAGGAGATTTCGTGGTGGTGAGAGAGAACGCTGCAAGGCTGGTGGTCCAGGACCCTTTTAGGTTGGGCTCCTTCCTAGGGCTAGTTCTAATGATTAGATTATGCAATTATTCTAGGAGCTGAAGCTGCTGCTGCTAGATGCAGTGTGTCATATTTGGATGGGCCGTTTGCTTTGCACTTGGTGTTACAGAGTAATTCAATGGTGTATAAAGAGCTATTAGCTTGCAAATTTGAATTATTAAGATTACTGTTCCTGTGATCAACACCAGTATTACTATCTATTTGAACATTGATTGCTTCTATTATTATTTTTCATTTATCTGACATATTTTCTGTTGTTTGGGATAAAAATATATGTGATCCTACTGGAGAGCCCCAGTAGTGCTAGTTTTTGATTCAGTAACGAGGTAGAACGTGGTGGAAGCAGCAGTTCCAGGGCACACAGGTGTGCAGGAGGTACTCTGTGCAGTTGAGGGAATACACGTGCCTGGCTGTGAAGTGTCTGGTGTGGCACAGTGCAGGAACTCCTTGTGCCCGTGCTTCCTGGTGGGATGGCTGGTGCTGTGCTAGGAGTCTCTGTGTGTGTCTGAGGTGTGAAGTGCTGTGGCATGCTGCCCTCTCCTGGGGTCTGCTCGGAATAATCTTCCCCCTT